CCAATAGTTGAGCCACAAAAGTTGACTCGTCAGACTGACCTACAAATGGCTTACTTATAGTTGTGTGCTTCAACTACGATAGGAGAAAGTATTTAAAAAATGACAAACCTCACCTTTAAAGATAATGTTGATTCATAGAACAAATTATTTAAAAAAAAAAAACAGGAAATCCCGCCCCAAACTCACACCAATAGTTGAGCCACAAAAGTTGACTCGTCAGACTGACCTACAAATGGCTTACTTATAGTTATGTGCTTAAACTACGATAGGAGAAAGTATTTAAAAAGTGACAAACCTCACCTTTAAAGATAATGTTGATTCATAGAACAAATTATTTAAAAATTGTTAATGTGTTAATGTGTTCCTACTAAAACGGTAACACTTAAAGATAAGGTTACATTTGATAACAGTCAATTACATTAGATAACACGTACTAACAATGAAAAATACTTTTAAAGCATTTATTCATCTTAATGTTAATTTTAAAATGTATTAAGTAATACATTATTAAAATCAAAAGTTGCATCTGCTAATATTTTTTAATGCTGAGCTAACATGAACTAACAATGAACAGTTGAATTTTTATTGACTAATGTTAACAAAGATGAATAAATACTGCAAAAAAGTCTTATTCATTTTTAATTAATGTTAGATACTTGAGCCACAAAAGTTGACTCGTCAGACTGACCTACAAATGGCTTACTTATAGTTGTGTGCTTCAACTACGATAGGAGAAAGTATTTAAAAAATGACAAACCTCACCTTTAAAGATAATGTTGATTCATAGAACAAATTATTTTAAAATTGTTAATGTGTTAATGTGTTCCTACTAAAACGGTAACACTTAAAGTTAAGGTTACATTTGATAACAGTCAATTACATTAGATAACACGTACTAACAATGAAAAATACTTTTAAAGCATTTATTCATCTTAATGTTAATTTTAAAATGTATTAAGTAATACATTATTAAAATCAAAAGTTGCATCTGCTAATATTTTTTAATGCTGAGCTAACATGAACTAACAATGAACAGTTGAATTTTTATTGACTAATGTTAACAAAGATGAATAAATACTGCAAAAAAGTCTTATTCATTTTTAATTAATGTTAGATACTGAATTAACTAATGGGACCTTACTGTAAAGTCTGTAAACCATATTTTTTGATGAAGGACTTACTAATGTGAAAACACATTATTTTCATGGTAAATTACTGTCATAGTGCTTGTGATCATTTATGCTAATATTTTTTAATGCTGAGCTAACATGAACTAACAATGAACAGTTGAATTTTTATTGACTAATGTTAACAAAGATGAATAAATACTGCAAAAAAGTCTTATTCATTTTTAATTAATGTTAGATACTGAATTAACTAATGGGACCTTACTGTAAAGTCTATTGTAAACCATATTTTTTGATGAAGGACATTCAGAGGATGAACTGAAATCCCAGAGATGGTAGGTCAGCTGAGCTTTGGGTCCACATCACTGTCAAGTTCTGCATTCTGCTTGGCTGCACTTGAGTTTCCATTAGGAGCTGAATAAGTTAAAGGTCAATAACCGGGTTTGTGCAGAGTCAGCGCAGAAAACTGGACTAAAACCTCGGCAGATTTAAGAATTTATAAGAATAAATCAGCCAAAACTGTGTCATTATTTACTCACCCGCATGTCGTTCCAAACCCCCATGCTGTTATGTCTGCAGTGACACACAGGAAAAAATTGAAACAAAGTGTCTCTCAAATCTAACACGCCATCAAACGTCTTTAGTTCTCAAGTGTCTTGTAACCAGAAATCATGACGTCAAACCTGTACACTATAGGTGGAGGTAAAGGTAAACTTAAAATATAGCGTACAAACAGTGTTGGGAAGGTTACTTTGGAAATGTAATAGGTTACAGATTACAAGTTACCCTATTTAAAATATAATAGTAGTGTAACTTTTTCAATTACTTTATTAAAGTAATGTAACTGATTACTTTTGATTACTTTTTGATTACTTTTATAAATTTCTAATGAATGTTTATTTGCAACTGTTAATCATTTTCAAACATTTACACCATGCAGGGTTAACCTTACAGTAGTGCTTACTCTGATCCAAACCGTTTGGCGGAGGCGCGGAGAGCACGTGAGCCGAAGCATTGCCAGTCACGACTAACCGATTCAAGATTTATTAGAGATTTAATTATCGAATGGCGAATTCGGAAATAATCGCTTTAGTACATTCGGCAGGCAACTATACAATAATAATATTAAAATAGCGGGCCAAATCGGCTGCCAGGCCACCGGGAATTGTCCGGGTTCTCCCG